GTCACTGTTCGGCAAATGGGTAAACTTTGCAGAGTGACAGCGACTGGCTTTATCCCTGAGTCACATGATCAGCCTATGATGAACGCCATCGATCCTGTTAATGAGTTCATTTGAAAGCATATGATGTTGCAAAGTATTGGACAAAGTACGGATCATAGCTAAAATGCTGCAATGTTGATTTGCGTTGTTTCATAATTCGCCTTGTAGACCACCTCTGTCAAACAGCATCATTTTTGTCCGTCTGGAAAGCCGCCAGTTTTGGCAACATCACGTGGTGACCGGATTTATGCAAATGAAACCAGTTTAATGAAAGAAGTAGAAAACGTCCAATTCGACTGTATGCTTTACGAAAAATTGCTCGTTTGTTCTTACCTGCCAAAATTGTCGGTCGCCAAGGCGTGCTCCTTAGGCGTTTGTTTATCGATTATCTTCATCTCATCTCTCATGTTCTAATTATTTAGGTGCAACTATGGCGTGTTTCGTCAAGCGATTACATGGCTTCTTCGGTGCCCATAGATGTTTTTTGGAAAAGAACGCATAAAACGTAGTTAAATTAAAAGGGTTATAAAGATTGTGAATTTTTCAGGGATTAAATCACATCGATTGATGTTTCGGTTAAGCGATTTTGAGACCGTTTCTAACCTCGGTTGCTGCTACTGTATTTACCGTTTACTTCTTGAGACCGCGGTTTGTCAATTGGTAGAGGGTCGGTTCAGAACCGATAGGCTCCAGGTTCTGTCCCTGTTCAGATTTCTCGACTTTCTTCCTTCCAAGGTTGATAGATGCTTGCCATGCCGTGGGAAGGAAGCTTAAAACTACAGTACGCTTGCCAGAAAGCTGCTGTTGACTCTTCGTTTAAAATAAGGCACTGCTTACTGATGGAATAGAAATGAAGATTAGCAACCAATTATTAACTTCGTGAAAAGAATGGTGTCACAAATTTCTCTATCGCAAAACTGCATGCAAGACTGGCAGTCTAACGGCTACAGACGTTCTCTTTTTCGTTTCGTTGTTGAGCGGAAAATTGTTTGACGGAGTGTTAAGAAGGAAAACGTCTGTGCTTTCTCAAAGACCTGTCAAATCCCTACACATTGAAGAAGTAAAAACAGCAAGGTTCATCAGACCCATAATCGTACACGAAGATAAACAGCCATTACCATGCGTTTTATGATTAAATTAAGAGCAGAGTGGAGTAAAACAGCGACGTGAGAAATGCGCTTGAAGGAACAAGACAGCGCTGGTAAATAACACTCCAAAACCAGTTTCTATATGATTTCGTTATCACTTCCATCAGAGACGAAGAACCTTTTTCTTATGTGCGATTTTACAATCAAATATCGACCAATGCTTCAGAACGATGATTGTACAGGGATTGCTGAGTCAAAAGATAACCGTGTCAGGCCAAGGTGGATGCTTGCGAGCAGATTGAGACTTAATGAAATGTTGCAAGAGTAGGTATTTGATCAGTTTTGATGACTGCCTCCGTGGGGGCGGCAGAGCCAAGCAACCTCTCTAACTTTCCTCATTCTGTACCACCGGAAGCTTCAGCAGAAGAAAGCCCGAATCTGGAGCAAAGTCAGTCGTGTCACTTGCTCCGAGTCATTCTTGACCGTCCGAGGGGTCTTCTGCTGGTCGATTGTAGTAACTAAGAGTTACTGATTGTTTTGTTTTTCCTTTTTAAAGAGGCATTGCTTGGGTAAGAAGAATTTATGCGATTCAATTTAGTATTAAGTCTATTCGTCTGTGTCCAAATGCATCGAAACGAAATCTGGTTTACATATCTCTAAGAAAACTAAACATTTCCTTTCATCAGTGACTGGAACCGATATATCTTCAAAACAATTAGCTACCTGATATATCAGCATTCAGTCTACTAAATATATGCATTGCTATCAATATAACGGCGAAATGAAATCGCGCAAAGTGAATAGACCTTCCCCATTTGAAATAACGGTAAATGAAGGGATTATGAGAGTTTACTGCATACTCGCATATATGACTCCAATGGTTTTCTCTACCCTGTATCAAAACATATTCAAATATTAGTACATACAGCAAAATAAATTTAGTTTCTGCCGCGTTATGGACTGCTTTACTTCGGAACAGCTCGCTATAGTAAAACCAAGGTGTAGGCATAACGTTTATCTGTAGTGGATGTAGGCGTTTCGGCTCTGAACCGTGCCAAAAACAATTCATGCGCCAATGCGTGAACGAGAAGAAGAATTTGGCGTCCTACCGTCCATGGAGAGCTGTCTACGCCAAAAGAATTGAATATCGCAATTCTAAGCTACATACGCAACTCATTAATATGTTGGCCTCCGATGACAATAACACAAAAATAGAATTATGGTCTGTGTTCTCTGACGACTACCATACTCGTCGCCGATTATATCTGATGTTATAAATAGACTAGATGACACCATCTGTAACACGTTACTTCCAAATGCTCCCCGGAATAGCAATGCTTCAGCTAGTACCGGTTAAAAAATTGGAATATTATTTAATGTGTAAATGAATATATGAATGACACATATGCTTAATTGCCTGCCATTTGGCGTATCCGCGGCTTTCAGATAGAGGAACAACTTCCAGACATAGGGGTTACCTGCGATAATTAAACAGTCGCCAACAGACAGGATGAGAAAAACAAAGTTTGGCTGGGTTTGAGCACGAAAAGTTCGTTCCTTAGAGAAGGTCCCAATGTCTAATGGCAGTTTCAAGTCAAGTGGGAAGCAACTCCTTTTGAAGAAAAGCCCCCAATATCGGTTCGTATGGGGCTAAATAAGACAACTTCAATTAAAAACCCGACAGTCATATGCAGGAAGTTCCCTAGACCCATCCAGCCGGTGGAGAAACTTCGTGCGCTTTAAGAACACAAAGTGATTCGGTCTGAGGGTTCGCCGCCAAAAACCAGCCGGTTTACGCATTCCTGGTGATCCAGGTGACTTATGCATATATGTATGCGTATTTGTGTACGTATATATGCATGCATTTATGTGTTTGTATGTATGTACTTATGATTGTTTGAATGCATGTATGCATGCGCATGTATGACTGATTGTTCGGTTAAAAACTGAATTAGCTAATTCTACATGGAATATTCAGACGATCT